CCTCGATCAGGACTTTTGTTCCGCTCGCGTTGAACAGCAGATGCAAAACAGGCTCTCCAGATCGTATTTCGTTCACAATAGTAATCGGCTCATCCCCATCCGATTTGGTCTCTATTTTGGACACAAGGATGCGACTGGATTCGTCTGCTGTGACAAGGAGTCCGGCACTTTTGCAGTAGTCCATGCAGGTTATCCTAATGCCCAGAGCGTGCCGGCAAACCTCTTTCTGTCGCATGGTTTGTCCGTCGAAGCACATGACGGATCCATCTTCCTTTCCACAGAAGAGGTACCTTCCATCTGGGTGCGGGCGGATTGCTGTTATTTGAACGTTCGCGGCTCGTTCCATATGACTTGAAGTAGTCCTTGCTTGATTGAAGTCGCTTTCACTATCATCTTCGTGCTCTCCCCCAATCAGAATTTCCGGTCCCCATACTCGGCACTGAGAACCACGGATATCGGCGAACCGCAGGCTGTCGGCGCTGAATGAAATCCCGCGGATACCATCTTCAGACGAATCAATTCGATGTATGAGTGCTAGGCTTGTCCCTTGGGCCCCGGTAAATTCAAAGATACTCAAAGTGCCCCGAGAGCTGCCAGCGACAAGGTTGCGACCATCTGGGGAACAGGCGAGAGTATGAGCATAGACATTCTGTCTGCGGTAGCATAACTCAGCAGTATACAGGTCATAGACCACAAGCTCTCCATCGCCATACGAGACCACCAGGACATTGCGATTTCGGTTGAATACCATGCCATCGACAGTGTATTCGATGGCCATATTACTGTTTCTGTAACAGGCTTGAACGAGAGACGATCTCGTCATCTCAAACACATATACCGGTCGGCCTTTGTAGCTGGCTGCAAGATAAGAGCCATCATTGGACAAGAGAGCCATTGCTGGAGGCTGAGTTGGTTTGGTATGTCCTGTTACTTCTTGGAAACGCTGGGTCCATGGACGAGTGTCTCCCAAGCTTTCTTCGTCTTCAAGAATCCAAGAAGTTGTGTAATTTCCTCGAGTAGCGGCCACTAAAGCACTGCTATCTTCATGAAATGTGACGGTTAGAGGTTGGTGCGGGACATCATAAGTTCGAAGTTGTCTTAATGTCTGCAAATCCCAGACTTTGATTTTGCGCCGGCCACTGGAGGCCAAGTACTGGTCATCATCACTAAACTTAAGTATTGTCACTCGCTCTTCGTGGGTGAAAATGGCCTTCTTTTCCAGTGATTCCCAAAGATAAAGAGTGATACTTCCATCGGACAACGAAACAGCAAAGTGAAAATTCCCATGGGCGATTGCAGTCGTCCGTGAGGTACCATAATGAATTCGAGACATGCATTCACTCCAGCCATCATCTTCAAAGCCTTTGAGTATGATGCCACGAGGACGCAAGGTGTATTGTCTCGATATCATTGACTCCGAAGGGCAGAGTGATGGGATGACTGTATGGATTGCTGAAGGGCAAGTGTCCAAGGCTACCCGAAATCTGGCATTCACTCTTAGCAAGTCGTGTATCCACTTCCGTAGCTGCTTCTTTTTTTCGTTTGGTATAGGCATCTTTTCACTGTTGCATGCCAAATATGAGGCCATGTTCCTTGCGGTGTGCGTGACATACTGTAGTCTCCTTGTCTCAGCGAGGTACTGAATCCAGAGTAATGCAGTACACTCCATAAACTTCAGGAGTGCATCCCATATGCTGGGGTCTCCTATAGCGCAATCATTCAGATGGTCAGAAAAATAAATTGCGGCATAGTCAGCGATGTTGCTCTCTGCAGTGATTGGCAGGGAACGTGCGTCTGATCCTCGTCTGCCGGGCGCATTGTCGATGAAGTTGCTTAATACCTTTAGGCAGAGCTCTGCGATCCGCAATTGGCTTGTAGGCCTGTGTATGACAAAGGGCGAAATTTCTTCCTGCTCCAACAAGAATGCTCGAGCAGTTTGGTGAACACATTGAACTTCATTTCCTCGGCCAACTTTAATGAGTTGTCCACAATTGGTGTTGATAGCATCTTCCAATCTGTGAACTGTTTCACCGGTGTCGATCTTAATGGCATGCTTCAACTCTTCTACGGAAAGCGGCCTCATCGCTAGCGACGTCCAGGTAAAGATGGACCGAGCCAAATTATGGCTCTGGGCAGGTATGTTCTGTAATATTCGCGTGTAGACATTGTGCATCTCCATAGGCGTTTCACCGATAACCTTTTCTGCGCTTTCTTCGGAGAATGTGGTCTCGAGCTCCCGAATTACGAGGGATAACCATAGAAAGGACCCATTAGCCATATCCAGGATTTTGGCTTGGAATCTTCCCTGATCGTCATCAGCTGCTATGGGTAGGTACTGAAACCTCGACCTGACAAATATCCTCAAATCATTTATCGTATCCTGGGGTTGTAAAGTGTATTCCCCAATGGCGTGATAATGAGATGGATGGCATCGAGACATTTTCAGCCCGTTGCGACTCGTAACGAATATTCGCAACCACGGAGGACATTCTGTAAGTAAAGAAACAAGGAGACAGGGTTTGAGACACTCGTCGAGAGCATCAATGACCCAGTAGCATGAAGTAGGCTTCACCTTTTTGAAGATAAACTCTAGGAAGATCTCATGCCACAATATTCGCTCGTCCAATTGCTCCCACGTGCTAGAATCGGGTGAGACCTTGGTAAGTTGTCCAAGGATCTTCTTATCCTTTCGACACATTTGAAAGGCAAGTGATAAGAGACACTTGGTGATTGTAGACTTATCTCGATCGCCATGCTTGAAGAAGAAAAAACTGCATTGAAAATTGCTTTTCACGCAGTCATCGATTATAGAGCTCGAAATGACTGATTTCCCTGTGCCAGCATTACCTGTGAGCCAGAAGATGGCCCGATCGGAGTCTCCCAATTTCCACAAAGCATATTGCTTTCTCATTGTCAGCCATTCACAAGTTCCGGTAGCCCGCAGCTCGTCCAGCGCCAAACGGTCATTATTTGGAGCATCACTGATGCCAGTCAGTTTAGACAGCTTCTCCAAGGCCGCCTTCGCATTCTCGGAATCTATGATAGTAATGGTAAGAATAACGTCGGCATGTATGACGGCGGAAGCCACTGACCCTGAGAAACAATGGAATCAATGGTAGTGACAAAAGCATTCCGTACTGTCTTATAATTTGGGTCTGCAGGACTGTCAAATTTGCACACGCCCCTATGGTCCGCGTTCAGAAGTGAGCATCGCTCCCTTGAATAACCTAGAGTGGCTGAGGTTTTGTCAACAATAATAGCGCTTGTCAACTTGAAACTGCATGGAAGAGTCTCGTAGAAGGACCATATGTGCAAGTAATCCGCAACATGTCGGAAACTGTCATTTATAGACTGGATTGAGTCGGAATTTCGTTCTAGCTCTAGGACAAACGGCTTGGGCCCAAAGGACACCCTGAGAACATTTGCGAGAGTCGTTGCAAGGTCGGAGCCCCGGTGAGGTGTGGCGAGAAAGTATAATGTATGCATTCGCGCTGCAATCTCCTTCAGAGTAGGGTCCTCTCGAGCGAGAATATATGCATGTGGGATGGTGAGTCCAGAAGCGGACGGAACTAGACATGGAATGGTCTACCTTTTTCGCAACCAGCCCGCCCATACTATGCGCAACAAGTACCAATTTTGTCTTTGATCGTCAGTTGGAACTAAGTATAGAGATAGGAGCATAACTCACATTGCTTCGACGAATGTCTGGATTGCATTTGATTTCTCCTAACAAGGACAGCGCAAAGTCATGGATGTTCAGAATGCTGGTCGTTTTTTCGGCCCAATCAGCTTTATAGCCAAAGCTATATATACGGACTTGGTCAAATTCGGGGTCTTGAGATAACCATTCTTTGGGCCAATAATGGTAAGGGTCTGGTGATTTGGACCATGTTTTTCTAGACCCTCCTCCGAGGCCGTGGATAAAGATGAAGTCGACGAGCGGTTCTGAAACGGTGCGAAGCAGTTGAAGACCTAGAGGTCCTTTGAAGTCTTCAATCTCAGGTAAGGGCTTGTCATTAAGAGCAGTATGCCTTTGAGCAACATTGGATCTTCGATCGATACGGAGCCTGCCGAACGACTTCCTCAACCAGCCATAACTCTCCGCCGTAGTGTCATTCCCTCCGGACTGTTTCGTTTCAGCGTCTGCTTTTGGAATTTTCAAAGTTGCAAAGCCAACCTTATCCATTACAAAGACATGTCAATATCGTCGGAATTCTGTCTTGACGTCTAAATAATTAAACAACAGGGGTACCAGGTGCTGGTAGGTGATAAAAACTCCAAACATTCCATCACCAGTGCCCCTCACTGGGAGCTGCTCGCTTACGACTCCCTGCATTGGGCTATTTTGCGATTCTGCGCGCAGCGAATGGATACTCGTTGCGCGAGCCAGTCGTATGTCTCGGTTAAGCGCTGCCCGCCGTGCTATTGCACTCATGCAGGCTGAGCGGCTATAGGATGCAGCGCGACACACTGCGCAGTGTATGATTCGTAGATCGATTCTTTGCCAGCCTCAAGTGTTGTCGATTACTGTCAAGCCAGTTTTGAATGATTTATGTCAACCGAGTAGTAAGGAAGGAGGCTGTGGGAAAGCATTCCGCAGACATTTTGTGTACTGTCGACATAAGCAGCTGCCATTATGTTGGTCTGCAGATATCCATGCGCTTTCTTCACCTTTTGAAGGGGGCGATCCAACGTTATAATATTAGAGTGATGTCGGTGTAGTTCTTTAACAAGTATTACTTTGTCACCGCGTTATCTACTGATCCCAGTCATAGGTGTATTGAAACGAAATCCTTTGGAAGAGGATGTGTAGGGGCTAGGCAAGTGGGCTCCCCGGTGGAAATTGGCACCATCACACCCCTGCTCGTTGAACACGGCAACCACGGCGGGGTAATCATTCCTTTTGCTTTCAATGGTTATGACAGTCCCACATCAGTTCAACGACATCGCGCATCGACTGTATCTGCCTCATACAGGCTCATTTTCAATTTGCAGCCATCATGTCGCAGTGCGATGGTCAAGCAATCTCGTTTCCAGTCTCCCTAGTAATTGTGACGGACGGCATTCCGAAGAAAAGGATCATTGACCATGTTTTTTTATCGGGTATGAATGTGTTGGCGACGTATCTGCACCCTAAGTTTGGATAATAACAAAAGCAATAACAGAACTTGCTTTGTTCCGTCGACCGTTGAAAGTCGTTAGCCTTGGTTCTTCGGCCTGGGCTCAGAGATATCGGATTGATGTCGAGGCCCAGGAACAGACAGATAGCTATTTCATCAAGGTAACTCCTCTACGATGCTTACACACTTTGGAGGACACCCCGCATCTTATGCTCTACTAAACAGGCTCTTGGCAGATATCATTTGGGGATCATGGCAGGGAAGCCCTCAAGGGAGAATCCGAATCTACTTTGGCAATCCATAGCATAGTTGGAAGCTTCACTCCCAGGCCAATCAAATGGGGATCCTTCAAAGCTCTTTCAGGTGCACATTATTATCTCTGTCGTTTCTACGACTTTGCGGAACATGCTCCTAAACCAGCAGAGTTTTGCCAGAATATCGCCTTTCTCCGTTCGAGGAGTGATTCGCCAAGCGGCAAATTCGGGTTTCACCTTGTGACATACAACGGCGACCTGCCTCAGGAAAATGGCTACACTGACACGTGGGAGGAATTCTTCACAATCGGATTTAGGCACATGGTAAATATGAACATAGAACGCGGTGGGCCGTGGCCTGAGCTGGAAGGCCTAGACACTGCTATGATTGACAAAGTGATCCCCCGCTTGTTAAGGCCAATGGAAACAGGAGGGCGGTCCATCAAGCCATCCCTCGTCCATGGAGACCTGTGGTGCGGAAATGTCGCAGTCGATTCAGCCACAGGGCGGCCGTTGATATATGATCCTGCGAGCTTTTATGCGCACAATGAGTGTATGTGCTTTTTGTAAGTCTAGTTTTGAGTTTCACTAACGTGTTCCTGCAGACGAATTGGGCAATTGGCGTCCTGAGCGAAATGGGTTTGACAGAAGCTTCTTTGATGCCTATCATTCAATTATTCCAAAGACTGCCCCAATAGAAGACTACGATGACCGGATTGCGCTGTATTCATTGTAAGAACCCATCCAGCTTATTTTTTTTTTTTTTTTGAAGGAGTTCTTATTCGGAAGAGGCGCTTTAATCTACAAGCCGCGGCCCTCTTCCCCGAGGATGCTAGCTTTCGAAACTCGTAAGTCGAGTTCAAATCTAATTAAACCCTAAGTTGCTAATCATCCACTAGGGTAATTGAAGAAATGAGACATCTGGTTGCAAAGTACCCGGGAGGCTATGAGGAGTACGCCAGGATGTCCTGTGACAACATCTAAGGTATCTTAGGCCAGTCATCATAGTTTGGTTGCGAACACCATCTACACCTTCCATCAAGGCATATATATGTTCTTGGTCGCGATAGCTCAGGCTTATCATGATGTTTGTTCTTTATTTCCCTGGGCTTCTTGTAAGTGTCGGAACAGTGCGCGAAACTCTGCCTATTTGGAAGAGATATAATCGAAGAAAATATCTTCACAGTAAGTATGACATGCATCTGGATAGTATAGTACTACAGATAAGAAGGACGGTAATTCGAAAAGATAATAAGCGCCCACCGAGTGGAGATTAGCAGCACCCCTGTCGGTGGATGGGGTACTTGGGCGGGGTACTTCTTCTATCCTTGAGATTGTTTCTTTGTCATTCTCCTTCCCTCCCAGCATATCCAAAGATCATGCCACCCACATCCATCTTCATCTCTGGCATTGCATGCCCCAGCTGTCGGCTTTGCCATCTTTCAGAGTGAAGATGGCAACGGAAGCGTCAAGCAGGAGCTTCTACAAGCCCTGCACTGCGGCTACAGACACATAGACACCGCTACTGCTTATAGAGATGAGATGGAGGTCCGTGAAGTCATCAAGGGGAATGGGTTTCTCGAGAAAGAGATAATTGTCACCACAAAGCTGTAAGCACCTGCGCTTGTGGCTGCAACGCGGGAGACTAACTCTTTGTTCAAAGGTCGGCGTGGCACCGTGTTTCCGACGTCAAGAGAGCCCTCGACCTGAGCGTAGAGAGGCTGCAACTGGAATATAGTTTTTCTACGCAGCTGCATAGAATATCAGGGCATGTGGCTGACTTCTTGATGTATATTTAATATTTACCTGATGCATTATGCGACAGAGGTCGCTTCCACACGATAACCACTGACTGATTTCTAGTTCCCCATGCATAGTCCTGGACCGGATAAGAACACAATCCGTCATTCTAATGGAAAGGTACATACCTTGAGTATACCCATATCATACTACGGTGTACTAAGGTTCTCTCACAATAACCAATCATTGACCATGAACTGTCGAGAGATTATCCATCGACCTGGACAGCCATGGAGATACTGGTCGATAAGGGAAATGCAAAAATATTTGGTAGGCCTGCACCTCTTGACATGGCATGCAAACACTCATGTTGATTAGGGTTCTCCAACATCAATATCCTAAAGCGGAAAAGACTTCTCGCGTCAGCTATGATTCCTCCTGCAGTCAACTGGATCGAGCTTCACCCGTAGGCACTCGAGCTGTCCTACTGTGTGCTTTTAATTTGACTTAAGGCCCGCTAGGTATTTACCCCAAGTTGAGCTTGTGGACGTCTGCAAAACTAAGGGCATTCACGTCACCAGCCACTCGGCGGCAAGCCAGTAGCTGCAGTGAATCCAAACGCAGACCGACCAGGTCCGTTGAGCGATGCAGAAGTAGGTCCTCCCAAAATGCCTGTGACAATTACGGAGACTAATAGCTACAAGGTAGCCGAAACAGCGGCAAAGAATGGGCTTTCGCCAGCCCAAACCATACTATCCTGGATCGTCCAACAAAACATATCAGTAATCCCCAAGACCGTCCAGGAGAGGAGAATGGTAGAGAACCTCGACCTGAAACAAGTACCAAATGAAGACATGGCAGCAATATCCAATAAATCAAGAAAGAAAGGAGAAGTCCGCTACCTCAATCCAAAACACCACATTGGCTTCGACATCTTCGACGAGCAACACGACCAGCCAGTGCAGGAATGATCTACCAGGCACCAGTGTTGTATCTACAGATATCTAATTGGATTTCCAACATTGCTAGGAATTGTCTACACTAGTGTGTGTCACTTTCAACTAGCTACGGAAGGATTTCATCGCCCAATATGATATCAGATTGCCATAGCAGAAGGATAGATAATCCCGCAGTACCCCTCATCTAAAGCTTTGACATCGTTTCAGATGTCCAACACAGCACAGCACAGCCTACCTCTTCCGCTCTCATGACTCAGGAACATGACCGGGAACCAACAAGTCTTGATCACTAGCTAAGCGGAACACAAAACGCGCATCAAAGCGCGACAGCAAGGCCTCACCTACTATGACTGATCACGACATACAATTTACACAGCCTTGCAGTGTAGGCCTAATATCACCATCCATTCAGACATAGTCAACTCCCAACAAAACATCCTACATGATCTAAACATGGCAAGTAATTCAGCGATGACTCCTTTTACACACAGACCACACATACAATACAACACCTGAATCAGCACCACCCACTAACACAAAAAATCCCAAGAAACTACTTACTCAGTAACTAACTGAACTAACCCGCCTACGATCCGGAAATACCCCGAGAACACAGCCATACTAGCAGTCTAGCTCCCATTAAAGACACTACCAGATACTACTCAGCTCCACTCAATAATAGCAGATTACTTCTAACTTAAGACAAGAGACAAACCCGCCAAGCAGATAAGCAAATCACCAAGATTGACTGACTAAGAGAACCAAACACCGACGTCATAAGCGAGGCACCTAACAACTAACTAGCCGAGATACACGTTAGTCTACTTAGTCGACTAAGACTAGACTAGATTACGGGATAGAACCAGACTAAGACACACGTGGCCAAAATAAATAACCACCTAATAATTACCGAACTAACTAACTAACTAACTAACTACATAGCTGCTGACAGCCTAACCTCGACTAAAAAAGACGGAAGACGGAAGACGGAAGACGGAGAAGAAAACGTGGTAGGAGGGGGGTCAATCCGCACCTCAATCACCACCACCACCACTATAATATATAGATTTTAGTAATGAATAGATAGTAACTGTTGGTTTCAGCTCAAACCCTGTTGGATTTTTTTTCTTAGTATAATCAGTATTACTATGAAAGAAAAATCCTCCTAATTTAGTCACGGACTTTCGCCAAAGTAAAAAATTGCACAGACATCCAATCCAGTCACATCCATCCTGGTCATGCACACATACACACACACACACATCCACATCCTCATCCTCATCCTACTCCTACTCCTCATCCCAACCAATCTAAAACAATTCTTACTTTCCTAATCCAGAGTTAGTCAAGTTAAGTAAATACTAGCATGGGAGAGGGGGGGGGGGGGGGTCAGAAAAGCCCCCATGCTAGTTCCAGCGCTAGAACGAAGCACCAGAAACACGTGTTGCATCATGGGGGCCGTGTAGATCACTTACTCCGACCTTCTTGACAATCTTTCTTCATCATCATTACGGAGTAGTAACTACTAGTATCTACAGGGGGGGGGCGCGGTTGAGATTATAATCCTTGTATATTAATTGGAGGACTATATACATAATAATTATTCACTAGCCTATATAAGGGTTAGTTCAACTGCGTATGGATCGGTGGGATGAAACAGGGAGTGAGTACCTTAGTAAACATATGGGTGGGATGTTACTTTGATTAGAAAGATACTACAAACCATCCTTAAGTACTCAACAAACTTGAATACTCACTTAGTTCATGCTAGGACGTCGGGCACGGTGATCATGCATACGATCTGTCGCTTAGATAAGTGGTGAAACTGTCGTTGTTTCATCTAACAACTACTATTATTTCTTTCTTGGCATTGCAGAGTCGAGTCGATCTCGAGAGTGGTTCATCATTAATTTGGGTATATACCTTATCGGTTATTCGTCACAATCACATTAGGAACATCATCCCACGCACTTCAGCGTATCATGAGAAACAAGTATCAAATCAAATCAACCAACCAGACAGTTCAGTCAGTCATGCATGCATGCAGATCAAAATAATCACTCATATCGCTAGCGTACGAAAATAAGCAACCAACCAGCCAAGCAGGCAGTTTCAGTTTCCAATCCCATCCCTCTATTTCGCCAATCCCAAGTAAAAATCCAAGAAAAAAAGAAAAAGAAAAACCAACCCAAAACACCCTGGCCGTCCTATCCCAGTTCATCTGATCCCGCTTTATGCCGTTTTCCGTATCCGCTCCGTAGCTAAAGATGATAAAATTAAAACATAGGAAACGAATTGAAATCACTCCAAGGTTCTCCTAGTGCCATCCCCTCTCGGGTGCTGTGTTGTACCCACCAACCATCACCGGAGTTTCTTCGTAGAGCTGCATGTTTAGCCCCAGCCCGCCATTGTTCACCCGTGGCAGTCCCCCGCACACCACGTCGCCAAGATATGGGGGCGGAAACGCAGGGGAGTGCTGCAGAGATCCCGCGTGGCTGTAATCCGAGAGATCGTCACGAGGGTCCGAGAGCAGCCGTGGGGAGTTCGGATACAAGGCCTGCGACGCTGGTGCCGTCACATAGGCTCCGCTGACGTCAAACGGGGGGCTGGCGATGGTCACCTCGGGAGGGGACTGCAGAGGCGGGGTGTAAGGGGCGTACGTGGCGGAGGCGGAAGACGGAGAGGATGAAGCGAGGCGGTAATCGTGGAGGCTGTGATACGGACTGGGAGGTGCAGGAGAGTAGTGGTCAAGGGAGGTGCGCGGAGACCACTGAAGCCGGCTTTTGTACTTGGCGACAATATGGCGAGGAAGATCCATGGCAGATAGTGCAAGGTGTGCATCGGGGTGGAAAGGATCGGCTGTGCTCCGAGCAACTACCATGCGGTAGATTTCTTCGATCGGACCGATGGAGAGCGGGCCAAGGTACGCACCGCCCAAGTCGGGAAAGAGGCTGTCGAGTACCACTCCAACCCCAAAGAACTGGGCCAGAATGGCTAGCGACCCGATGTCGGCATCTTCAGGTCGCAGCATGGCAGGCGGAAGCCAGAACAGCCATCTCCGTAGGGGCTGCATGCGCTCAAAGGCCTGTTCGGGAGTTTGGGAAAGGAGATCTCGCTGGAAGTGTCGTACAAACTCCAGCAATTCCCCGATTCGGCGGTAGTGCTCATGATTATGTGCAACCCGCTTCTGCAGGGCCTGGAGTGCCACGACGGTTTGGTCGAGGCTGGCCAGGTCTTCGTCTTGGAACTGGTAGCCCGACATGACGGGAGTGTTGGTGCATCCCAGATACCGCTGATTTTCCAGGAACATAGCCAACTCGGACTCTTGCTTCCACATCGGATGCATGGAACCCAATACCTGCTTCGGGTCAGTCTCGCCATCAACGCACAAGATAAAGATGCTTACCGTTGTAAGACCCTGCTGCAAAGACGCCCAGCTCTGCCACTCCGACGCCTGCCACGATAGAATGATCGAGGCAGCCAGAATTGCATCGCAGTTGTCCTTGGAAAACGCCCCCAGAGCATTATGCAGGCCCTGGATAGCAACACCGCGGTGGTGGTAGGCAAGTTGTTTCGTCTCCTGGTTGCGGGTGATCCAGGCGAGGTGGGAGGCGGACATGGTCAGAATGGCGCTCATAACAAAGTCATTAGAGATGGCAATAGCGAGGAAACTAGACCCAACGTCAGCAGATTCGTCATGTTTCTGCTAGGTAGCCCGCACTTACGCAGGCATCTTCTGCGCCCAAATGGTGCAGCCAGCGAGACCGCGTCGCTGGAGATCAATAGACAGACCAACAATGTGATGAATCAGGCGCAGATCAGTCAGCGAGAGCTTAGTCCAGCAGGTACGCGGGAACTGCAACAGCTCAGCAAACGGAGCCACGCCGGTGAACTGCCAGTTTTTGATCTCCATTTCGATTTCGGCGGACATGAGCAGGTCGGGTACATTGCGCATAGAAGATGCGTCGTCGTGGACCGTGGCAACATCCATGTAGTCGCAGCGACAGTTGTGCTTGGTGCAGTTCCGGCTGTGATGGTCAGCAGCGATTCCACGCAGCTGCAGTCTGCAGAAGGCAAAGCAAACAACAGATAAACATACCATTGTGGGAAAGTTTCGTCACAGCGGATGTGCCGCCGCTTGCATGTCTTGCAGCCGAAGCGAGACTTGGTGTGGCTCTTGCGAGGAGGGCCACCACCGGGACCAGCCATGGCGACGATGAAGGCTAACGAAACGGTGGGATCGAGGGAGAGAACAGAGAGTGTTGCGGTGGGGTCAGAGACGAAGCGATGAAACAATCACAAAAGAGTCAAAGCTTGAGCACAGTGACTGTCTCAGGCAAGGAGGAGAAGCAGTAATAGGAATAGTGACAGTTGACAGGAAGAAAGATGGGGTGGGAGGGGAGAGACCAGATGCGGAGATGGGCCAGGCCGGGATATTATAAGAAGTAAGAGCAGAAGATGATAAACCCAATCTGATCGGAGGCCAGAAATTACAGCCCACGGTTGGCTCAGTAAATGCGGCGTCCAAAAATAACCTCGAGCCGCAGCCCCAGTGAAGAGCAGCAGAGATACACACGTGGGGAATACGAGAAAACGGTGGAGGGCAAGTCAGTAAAGTAAAAGAAATGCTTTTTATTATTTTGCTTTTCCTTTTTCTTTTTTTCTTTTCTCTCTGATGTCCCTGCGTCAAGCCGAAAGGAGTATAGAGGAGAAGGAAGAAAAAGTAGAAAGACAAAAAGAGGCAAGGTCGTCAGGCGGGGACTGGGAGGGAAGACCAGCAGTAGCAGCAATACTAGCAGGTATTAAGTAGTATAAGAAGAAGGCGGAGGATTGGGGAACAATCAACAGGTCAGGACCAACCGGCCGGTAAAGGACGAGAGGAAGCTGCAGCCACAATTTTCCCTCCTTCAGCTGCGGGTCGAGGGACCGCGATGGTGGATTTGGTAATTTTAAAAGAGAATGAAACCAGAATAAGCAATTATAGGGAAGAAAGTGTAAATAAATTATATTTATATTTATGAAAGAGAACGAGAAAAGAGATAAAAGAAAAAAGGAAAATACTACTTAAGTAACTAGAATAAGTAACGAAATCGTCTGCATTTCAGGGGACGAGAAAAGAAAAGAAAATAATAAAAATGCCAAAAAGAGAAAATCATACTAAAATACTTACTTACCTTAGGGGACGAGAAGAAAGCCAAAAAAAAAAAAAAACCTAGACATCAAACGAGAAAAGAATAAATAATAAACAAATAAAATAAAACCACTATACTATAATTTCGAGTAATAAAAATAATAATAATCATAATCATTAAAACACAACCTAGACAATCAGTCAGGGTGGAATCTCTGGGGTTAGCGAAAGCCAAGATGTTGAGCGCCACGGTACGACCGGTCAGATGCTGATCTCCAGACAGTCCTCACAGCCAGTCATGAATGGAGCAGTGCCGGAAAAGGAGAGAAAAAGAAAATACTGCCACCACGATGGCCGATCTGGATGCTCAGAGAAACCGAGCAAGCCAGGGAAAAGAAAAAAGCATGATGATGGTGGTGGGGGGAGGGTAATGAAATCCGTCGAGTGAGCCTAGCCCCGACATGGGGGAAGGGTAAGTTGGGAGGAGCAGGAGGATCGGACCATGGCTGCAGGCAGGGGGGGTTGTTGATGGTCTGAATGACTCGGGTAAGAGAGAAGATTGTGAGTGAGATTGTGAGAAGTGATGATTTCATCTGGCCAAGTGAAGAATCGACCACCAAAATCATCGTGAGTAGTGGCAGCGGCAGCAGCAGCAGAAGGATGTCAGGCTCGCTCAGATTACTGTTTTCCGCATTATTCGCGCTGGGAATTTCTCCATTGGCACGACTTGAGCCTCTTCTGCCGAGACAGGCTTAGCGCAGGCGAGGCAGCTGGAATCCACATTCTGTTTTGAGATGAGTATTCTGACTGTTAATTGGCTGCTAGAATAACCCCAGGGCCAATGAAGACGAGGGCACGGGGCGGCCACATGGCAGCATCACCGCCAGTGGAAGTGCTTGGGCCATCCGTCCAAATGAAACACGCCAGATTCCCTCCCTCCTGAGTTAGTAGCCCGAGCAGAATGCAGTATGGAGTAAACTAATTACTTTAGTGTACTGCTGACTCTGCCGGTGATGAACTGACGGCCGGTGTGGGAATTTCCTGATCGATCCTCGCTCGCTCCATCCCGCCTAACTTCGGTCTGGTTCCGTTCCCCCTACTTACTTACTTGCTGGCTTGTCCGTTTCAAGTCCTCTGTCTGTGGTAGTCGGGGATTGGCATCTCCCCTCTTTCATGGTGATCCCTCCACTTTTTGCCTTGCCAGTGGGCGGGACGGGATTCACAAGCCTCCGAGGAGCAAGAGGCCCTCCTCATCCTCAGGTCTAAGCCGCAACAATCTGGAGTTCATCGCCAATCCACTGCCTTCGAATCGACGGAACCAGAAACTCAAACGCCCTTCCTCATCAGAAGAAGCAATGTCATCCTCCCTCCCCCTCCCTCTCCCTCCATCCCCAAAAATAAAGATAATAAAAAGTAAATAATATCATCTCTACGCCTCAAAACCCAGAATCATGCCACAGCCCTTCTAGCCCCCGAATGGTGGTGGCGGTCAGGGTCTGTCAGAGGAATGCTTTCCCTCTTTTTCCCACCCCCATTCCCCGACTCACCAAGGCTCGGGCGCAGCGGGAACACAGATACAGGCTAAGTGAACGAGCGAGCAAGCAACAGAGATTGGTAAGTTGGTAGAGTAACCCCGGGGGTTGTCTAGAGTCCAGATAGTCTGGACAGGGTCTGCGGAATCCTCACCCAAACTCTGGCGGGATACAGGTGTGGTTCCGACGCGCTCTACCTTTCCGGTTTCCATTCTTGATATTGATGGAGAGCGCTTCCCCATACCAAGCCAGCGGCGTCTGCTTGTTCTATGGTTCCTCCTTCATTTAGACTTGGGCCGGAGGAACTTACACACACAGACACTGTGTCTCTTTTGGCTGGGCTTCAATCACATTGTTGGTTCACCATTGGGCTGTGCTTTCAATTAAAAAATAAAAATAAAATAAAAAAACAAATGATACACGGTTGGACAGACAGCCTGTCACTTGCGGCGGAGTTGGTCCGTCTATCATCATTCAGATCGGCTGCAAGTACCTTCCACTAAGAGCTGTACTTTTCTTGGATCGACGACGGCCGGCCGGTCAGGCTTTCTTCGTCGTGAGGACCACTCTGCGAAATGGAACCATCAGTGGGCAATAGATTCTGTAGGCAACATCACTGTGGCCTGGTCTAGTACCTACTACATCTCCGCCCTGCTCTTTGGTACCTACGTAGCCCGTCCCCCTTCTTTTGGTTTCTTTATCCTCTCGCTACCTCTGCCTGACCTGACGGACAGATCATCCCCGCGGGACTGCAATAAGCCTAATCAGACCCGCTCGAACTGTGTCAGCCGCCTTCTTTTTTCTTCCCCTCTGTTCACGTTGGCTGACGTACCGGTAAGGATGCTAATCGGAGAACCATCGAATAAGGTGATCGATGGACCATAGATCCTACCACATTGGGCCATCCAGGATGATCGTTATAGTAGTGACTGAAGCTAAGTCGTCCGCCCGTGCTGGGATCGCTGCCACGATTATAAACGGAACGACACTTGACTTGCTCGGGTCTAAACTTCGACAAAGAGCCATGCCGCTGATGATGCGGATTGCAAAACCAGGGCCCTTCTCCCTCTTCATCGGAGACACCAAGAAATGACCAGGGTCTGTGAGTTTTGACGGGCAGTTGTCACTAGCAGTTAGTTAGTCGTCTGCCATAAGCGATGCATCGCTGATTGGGCAGCCCGTAAATTCTATCCCCCTTATTCATACCAATTAGGGGGGCGTTGTTGCTTTTTCCTGGCTCGTCATCCCATCTCACCCCCCATTATCTTCTCTTCTCCTCTCCTGCGTTCATCAAAGTCCTTGGCTACTTAACTTAGCCTCTCGTGGAGATGTCAACTTTCGTCAAAGTGTGCCCCCCGACGCCAAGACAGGTAAAGTACTGAGCAACTTAACTAGTCGTCGCTTGCACTTGACACATATACACACCGAATGGTTTGCCTTGCAGGGCGATCTGAGCGCACCGTTCATGGTGCCTGAAAAGGTGACCCAACAACCCCTCCTTTTCCCCCGTTCGCTCTCTGGAGGGGTGACCAGCAATAAAAACTAACAGATTACCTAAAGTACTCTTCACAGCCAGGTCACAACCTTAATGTGCGCTAGGGTGGAGGCAGCGGTCGCTAGTAGATTCCCTGTGTCCCTCTGATGGCTGTTGGGAGATAATTTCCCCTTGCTAGGGTGATGGGATTCGATAACTGCGGCGGGTCACCACCCTGTCGCGATTACCTTGATCTGAATAGGCACCGGAGAAGACCCATGATTCAAGCGCGTTGGGCTCCGTAGATAATCACAGTTTCATCATGTTCCAAGGATTGTTAATGAACCAATGTGCAGTGACTATGGGACCGTCTGCGGAGGATGCGATCTTTCACAAGCTCGCTCGCTCCTATCCATACCTTACGGGCGCACACCTACTCACACTTAGGACGTCATCAGCAGGACTCTCTGAATCTGGCCATGACAGCCGACCAAAGCGCAGACGAAATTCCAATCTGCAGGATTCATTTCAGGTGATTGGCCGCGCAGGGGACTGTGCCCAGGGGTTGCTAGTCAGCCATCCTGCTCTTTTGCCGAGCAAGACCCTGTGTAACGGTGCAGACAAGCCATGCAGCATGCGACCCGCGGGACAAGGGGGGGGTAGACAATTAAGTACAACCTTCAGAAAACCTGCAGAGAGATACCTTCTTCGGTCCATCAGTTGGCATCGGGGCGATGACAAACCCAAGTCACCGGCCAAGACCCCATAGACCCCGACTCAACCTTTTGCCCTGCTGGAAGGCGTCCATCATCCTTAGTCTTGGGTCCTGGTGCTGCTCGGTAGGTTTAGTCTTGTCCCGGCCGAACTAAGATTTGGGATCGAGGCTGCAAAGCAACAGCCCTCTCCCTCTACTAGATACTGTGTAAATGACATGTTGTAATTGACCGTTCGGGGCGCATTTTCAACCCAGGATTGCCAACGTAATGACTGACAGGACCTTCCATGGGGCATGGAAGATGAGCCTCGCGAGAGGATCCTAGTAGCTTAGACCTTCTCTTCGTAGAAGGTCTGACCTTCCATTGCATCAAGTGGGGCGACTGGAGTTACAGGAGAGACCGGGCGGTCGATTATGATAGACGCGCGATCCACCGCGAGGATGAAGGCGCAGTGGACGGACGTGGCATGGCGCCTTACCTCAGCCGATATGTTACGTTAGTACTTAGTTGGTTAGATATCTGTAACGCGGACAGATCATCGGCTTCTAAACGCACTCCATGCACAGGCGAAGTCTTCTGTATGACAGACCTGGTCCACATGCACAAGTCTGGATAAGACGATACGGAGGTAACACGGTTTCAGCCTCGACGGACGAAAGCCAATGTGATCTTGCAAGTGTCGGTTCCCAATCGACCGGATGAAACAGCGTCAGCTGTCATACCTCATGGCCAGCCAGACTCTCGGTGATTCTTGCCACTCTATTCTTTCCTTTTCTTTCATCAGACGGGAAACTCTAGCAGGGCTGGACTGCAAGCGATTGATGATTAGTTGTGGTTTAGTCTAGTGGGAGTAAGGAAGTGATCTGGCCCGTTACGGAACGGTCGAGCGGAATAGATAAAAAAGAAAAATAGAGAATTGGGAAAATAAGAAATAATTAAAATAATTCCGTTTAAAGAATAATCAACGATCAGAGAAGAGAAAACAAAGAACGGCGGCGATACCGGTCTGAAGGGTAAAGTTAAACTAGAATAAAGCTAAAGGGAAATCTCCACGACCAGCATTGTTAGTGTGTTGATTGGAGCCAGGATTCGAGAGGACGCTGATGGTTAACGCTGGTAAGAGGGCCAGAAGAACTCCGTTATTTAGTTCGCCCACGCTTGGACAATCACAGTTTAGTGGGGAGGGACCAACAATCTGGTCCGACCACACAACCACCGTCATCCACCGGACCCATCGAAACTCTGAAGATGACCCAAAGGACTAAAAGCAGAGCCACGGTTGACGGTGCCAAACCATCCGGGGCTGCGGGCCGGGTCCACGGTCACGGGGAGGCTGAGACTGTAATGAAAAGAGTGGGAAATGGTCTGAGGCCGAAACCTTTATGGGGGAGGAGCAGCAAAGAATCCACCAGTCAATTTCTCTTGATAGTCGGTGTTCTCTCGGGTCGGTCTCAACTGAGCTAAATTCTAGTCTAGAGCCCGCCTGACAGCGGAAAAAGGGCTCGACCTGCATCAGCCATGGAGGGATGAGAATGGAAGGGGGGTGTGGGAAGGGGGCTGGATGGTTGCATGCATCGTTGCACAAAGCCTCATTGCCACGTTTTCGTCCCGGAGATCGCGACAAAGTTCCCAAGATCCCGAAGAAATCGAGCATATGCCATGTGATGATGGAGGGATGGGGGAGGGGGGGGGGGGGGGAAGTGTAGGGATGATGCACTTACATCCCTGTCGGAGGGAGAAGCGAAGGGGATGAGATTTGTTGTTTGTAGATTATTTCTTAGCTAGTGAGTACACTACTCGTAGATTAATACCAAGAGCGGACTGGGAAGGAGCAGCTGGACCCTTCTCGGCCGTCAGAATTAAACTTGAAGCGATCTTCAGGAAGGCGTCCATGGTTCGTTGGGACGATGCTCCCAAGTTCAACTAGCTCTCCAGGAAGATAGAGATGGACAGATAGAATTAGATAATAGATCGCGACCGACTGCTGCACCAAACGAGGAGTAAACATCCGTCAGTACATAGTATACTCCATACCTCCTCCGTACTCGGTGTACTGTGTAAGTACCTCGAAAAGTAGTCGCTTGATACTGATTGATTGGGTCCATCAGTCTAAAGTACCCTTGATCACGGGGTCAACGAGGTTACTGAAGACTAGCCCAGGTAGCACAGCCAGTTAGACCCAGTCAGGCAACTGTCGGTCGGAGCAAGCCGATCCCAGATTCCGACCAACCAATGACGCAGCCATAACCATTCTCCGCATCAGTTTGGATGGCGACCAGAACAGGGAAGTAGTGGGCCAGTCACAGACAGGCGCTGGGCTCGGCAGATCCGCCGTCTTCTTTTTCTTCTCACTTCTCAGTCAGTTTTCAATCTCGCCAGATACAACCGCATCTGGTTAGTGCGCCAGGAGTCCAGAGGTGTTTCCCACTAACCCGGAATAGGGATCTGCCAACTTTAAGAAAAGAAAATACCAATCAAATGATACACATCTGATTTAAAAAAGAAAGAAAAGAAAGAAACCAAGATGGGATGATGTTCACTTCACCATCATCATCAGCAATGAGCAGAAAAAGGAAATCAAGGCGACCAACCCACTACTACCCACCTAACTAACTGCTAAATAACTGCCACAACCCAAAACTAGCCCCCAACTTCACACGCGGCCCAGGATCAACCATGTCAGAACCCAATAACTCGTCCAGTTTCCCTCGTGGCTAGCCTGAAGGATCGATCACCCACCAGTGATGATTTTATTATTCTTCTCTCGCTCAGTATCACCATCAATTCCAGCCCCAGGATCCAGCCCGTCGGGCGCGCCTATGGAAGTTAATCAATCGTTACTGCGCCGTCCTCGGAAATGGGTACACAGGGGGTGGAAAACAAAAACAAAAACAAAAAGTTGGCCACACAGCCTCATTGAACTTGGTTTACTAAATTGAAGACTAAGTCTAGTATGGATATGACTGGGAACCCCATCCAATTCCACGATGAATTAGCCGACAGACCACCCAGTACGGAGTACACAATATCTACAATAGTAAACAGTGAGAGTAAGAGAGAGAGAGAGAGAGTCTCGGCGCAATGGCCAATCTCCGAAAGAGAAAATAAAATCCTGCTCAACTAAAATACCACCCACCTGCAGTAGCTTTTTAGCGGCCGAAACATTTTCGCCTTCGCCGAAGATACCCTGATTGGGTAGGAGTCATACTTGAGTCAATTACTGACTACTCCAGCTAACTCCAAGATGGCGCGTACGTACATGGATGAGAATGATTACCTATGTCTTATCAATCCATACTAGACAAGTAGTAGACTGTAGCTGTAGCTGAGTGATGATTCATTAACCATCAATTAGTTTAATTCCAATGAGGCAAATCAATTAATCCTAGAGTAAGCCGCCATACCGCCATCCATGATGCCATCTCACTACCTAACTAACCTACCTCACTTACTCAACGGTGACAAATCCTCCATCCATCTAACTATCCAACCAACCATTCCTCCTCAATCAACTATTCTAGCCTAACAATCTAATGTCCACCCCCCCCCCCCCCCCCCTCTACTACTAATCACTAGTACTATAGTACCTAGTGCCTAGTCTGTAAAACCAAGGGAATATCCCCCTGCTCACCACCTGCATGGAACCTTCCACAGAAGAAGAAGAAGAAGAAGAAGAAGAAGAAGAAGAAGAAGAAGAATCCCCAAGCAAACACACCTACCGCCCTCCTTCCTTACTCCGTACATAGTGCTTACATCTTACTGTAAGTACTTAAGAGACAGCACCACCAGAATAAGTAATCGCTTAGAATGGATTATCAATCAATACTCTCCCCCAACTATTAACAAGGATAAAATCTGTCAATGTCGTACACATCCACCATATCTTAACCCATAGACATGAACCAAACCATCCTATCGGAGATGCCGATATGCGCTTCTTCATGATTACTATCTTTGATGACGATGATGATGATGATGATGATGATGATGATGATGGTGGTGGTGGTGGTCGCCTTACCCTGACCCTCCCTACCTGTACTTCCCATAAGTAAGAGAAAGTGTGTGTGTGTGTGTGTGTGTGTGTGTGCTGCGCTGTGTTGTGCTGTGCTGTGCTAGAAATGACCTGTCCCAAACCGACTGGGGTACTACTAGTAGTAAGTTAGTTAGTAGTATATGTATGCTGCAAACGCTAAAAGCTCCAGGGGGTTGCCCGCCCTACCCTGCTAGCAGACCTTGGCTGGTTTGCCCGGGGATTGCAGGGATTAAAAGGGACGGACAGAAGGGAAGGAAAAAAAATATTGACCAGGGTTGTTGTTTTTTGTGTGTTCGGATCCGAAGGGTCGGAGATAGGCATTGACTACTCCGTGGTAAGTAGTACTAGTGTTTATTGCTAGTGATTTTAGTACTACGTACGTTGATTTAGAGAGGGGATTGGGTTAGGGACGTAGGGGATGAATATAGACAGGCATTAAGTAGTTGGGGTTAGGAATATTGAAGTTGTTCGTATAACTTCACTTGCTATTTTGTGCTTTATGGTACTTAACTTAGGTTCAGTTACTACTATTCTTTGTTGATGAGTACTGTCATGTGGATCGGACCAGAACTGAACTTGCAGTTGGCTGGCTGGCTAGCTGGCTGATGCATCACTTTGCAATGGCATCTGTTTGTCGATCATGATGTCAAACTCAAATTCATATACATCATTCGTATAGAATATATAGACTATATCCCCCCTTCTCCCCTCCCTTCCATCGTAATTTGCAGATAAAAGAAACTTCACATCATCAGGGTAAAAAAAAGAAAAGAAAGAAAGAAGAAAAAGAGAACGCCAACGGTTGAGAAACACACAGTAGGTGTCGGCCGACTATCCCCTGCGTGCATCAAAAGGCTATCTAATATACTATTCTACTGGTCTATCTAATAACATAAAGAAAAATGAAGAATAAAAAAAGGTACAGGATCGATAGGCATGTCTCATTGTTCATTTCCCCTCTTGCCCTTTTCTTCTTCCTGGTTATATAGACCCGAGCTATACTATCCCAGGGTTTCATGTCCATCCGCTTTTTGCTCTTTTCGGGTTGTCCCTTTTTTTATTTTGATTGCCCACGGTCCAGCCAGCCCATTAGCCCTCCCTCTATGCAGACCCCGACACGGCGATCCACGCACAGTCGATTGAAACAGATTCCAAACACGCCACATCAAGGCTTAATCATCAGACGGTGTGCATACTCCCTCCCAGCCCGGAGAAAGGTCCATGATTTCGGAGAAGCCAACCACCGAGCCAGATGCCGGCGTGGGAGAAGGAAAAGGAAATGCAATTTTATGCGCCTTTCGCCATGAAATTTTGCGTTCAAAGGAAACATTAACATGACAAACATATAGATCTAAATCTGGTATACAGAACGAAGCTTCTGAGCAACATGGGCCGGAAGTTGCGACAGGAATGAATCGAAATTGGGTATCATATTTTTATATCCCTGCAACACCTGCATCATCATTGAGTCAGTTACACAGATTGAAGAGAATGGGGGAAAAGGCTACAAACCTGCTGGAATGAGGTCTGAATGTCACGGTAGTCCTCCTGGTTCATCGATTTGGTGGGGAAGGCAGCGATGGCCTGGAAGTAGTCCCCAAGGCAAGACTCCATGGCTGCGGGGTTCTTCATCACCACCTGGTTGAATCCGAGGAAAGCGGAAGCCTTCTCGCGGGTGAACTCAATCTTGTTCATTGACTTCAGGAAGACTCCGGCGAATTCGTTCAGACGAGCTGCAAGTTGATCGGAGCAGCAGATACCAAGCCGGCCCAGGGCCATCGCGGCGTTCTCGTTCACTGAGTCGATGATCTCCTCGTTGTTAATGATGATGAAAAGGCCCTGGTACAGCTTCTCCATATACGGAGACAGCGCGGCCTTCTCGTTGACGGCGATCTCTCCGCACGACCAGCAGGCATTGTTGAGAACGCTGAATCCAGTGTGACGATCATCATCCCGGATCTGATCCAGATCCAGTTGCTTGATCAAAGTGGGCATAATGTTAGGGATGAAGGACTCGAGTTGAGGGAAAATGTTAATCGCACAGTCACCCAGCAGAGCATACGACGACTGACGGACCTCATAGTTCGGATCTTCCATACAGAAGCAGAGCAGGTCAAAGAACCGGGGCTGGGAGTTGGCGACCAACTCGCCGCTCTTCTGCGGATCGATCGCCTGGATGATCGCGCTCAGAAGGTCCAGACTCGTCACCAGGAAGTCCTTGTCAGGCTCATCAATGGCCTGGTTGTTGACAGACGCCATGTACTCCTGCAGGTTCTCATAAATGATCTTAATGCACCGCTGGAAGAGGGGAGTGGCGAAGGGAGAAAAGGCGTCGCCATAGGCTGCCGCAATATATCCGAGACACTCCAAGAGCGGGAACAGCTCCCGAGACTGATCCGAGACCTTGTTGTAGCGATCAATGAGAGCAGGCATCAGGATATCAACCAGTTGAGGCTTTGCCAGCTCTCCCATGACGCACTCGGCCAAAGTCTGAACACAGTCATACAAGATGTACATGTTCCGGTCCTTGTACCTTCCAAAGCACTGCACAAACTGTCGAAGGATGGGCTCGCAGTAGGGGATCAAGTTCGCGTCCGACTTCTCCTCCAAGCTTGCAAAGGCAGAAGCAGCCGCCTCTTGAACCTTCTTGTTGCCGTCCAGCATCCTGCGCAGAATACCCTCCATCATAGGCTCAAAGAAGCGCGCTCTTTCCGACGGGTCTCCCAAGTGCGACGCCCATTCGGAGTAGCGGCCGAGGCACCAGCAGGTGATCTGTCGCACAACAGGTTGGGCGTCGTTGAGCAGGGAGATGAGATAGGGAACGAGCTCGGGGAGATGAGGCGTGACAGCATCCATACATCCATCTGCAACAGCACCAAGAGTCAGGACAGCAGCTTCACGATGAGGCCACTGCTCGTGACGGAGGGTCTCCTTGAGGTAGGGCAGGATGATCTCGAAGATCGGGTCGTGATAGACGTTCGAGAAGACATCCAACGCGGCGGCGGAGCACTTTCTGAGCGTCCATTCGTCCTCGGGATCATCTCCAAATTCGGAATCCTCAATCTCGCCTTCACTCAAATCGTCATCGTCTTCCTCCTCGGGAGCTGCGTTTCCGTTGGCTTGTCCAGACTTGGACATATCCAATTTACCGCTCTTGGACTTGGCGAACTGCGGCTTGAGGTCTTCCTGGCGGTCTTCGTCCTCGGCATCATCTCCTTCGCCGGTCAACCGAATGGCTTCATCCTCGTCATAAACCATGCTCTGGAGCAAGACCGGGACGATCTTGGACATGTGGGGAGCCAAGGGCTGCTGGAGCTTGATCTGCTCGCCCGCGACAAGCCAGAACTCAGCGGCGTCAAGCGCAAGCTCCGGGTCCTCCTGATTGTGCTGTTGCATGATGATGTAGTTGACCAATCCTTCCATGTGGGGGATGAGCTTCTCGGGGGAGAAGTCCACCAGCTGCGCGAAAGTCTGACAAACTGTGCGACGAACATCGGTACTCGAATCATTGGCGAGCTGGAACAATTGCGACAAAAACAGATCCATTGAAGCAATGAGCGCCTTGGGTCTGTGCGGGAGGAAGACATGGATGGTGCCGAGGGCCATTGAGCGGACCTTGGAACTCTGATTGGAGGTAAATTCTAGCAACTTGGGGATAATGACGTCGAGAGGGCATTGTCCTTGGTAGTCACGGTCGAGGATCTTGCGATTATCTTCGCACACCTTGGAGAGAGCCGACATGGCAGCCTCCTGGGCCATGGGCGGGATGTCACCGGAGCTATTTTCGACGAGGGTCAGCAGCTCCTGCAGGACATCAGGCCAGGCTAATAGCCCCGCCTGTTGCACCAATTCTGTGATGATTGTTCCGGCCGACTTCCGCACGTGAGGGTTCTCGTCGCGCAATCCGAGCAGGGTGGCCGATCGGATATAGGTCAAGCAGGGTTGGGGGATCGTGTTGTAGGCAACGTGAATTTTGGTCTTCAGGTTCATCGCAGCAGCGAAACGGACCATATCGTAGGTCTGGCTATCCATTCCCAGCACCGGAGAAGCCTGCGGGGTGCTGAAGAGGTAGGTGATGTAGTTGACATAGTCCGGCGACGAGGTTGCTTGTACTAGCATCTATCAGACGACAGAAGACGGAGGAGAGCTTCGGTCAGCCAAAATTTTACATTTCGAAGCGAAAGATAGGTCCTAAAACAAAGCTGTACAGAAGATGGGGTAGAGCCGGCGCTCTTGCAGCGACCGCGAAGCTCCCAGAATCATCATTCTGTTGAGGTGGTCGAGGGGAGGGGAATCATAAAAAAAAAAACTCAAAGTAGGGAAATAAAGCGGAGCAAGAGAGGGGAGAAAAGCGACAGCAAGGACACACCTGTTCGGCCTGTTTTTGGAGGGGGCGATCATAAGGGTTAAGGGAATCCTTGAGGCAGCAAGCCAGCTGCCTCAATGGATCGTCCTGCGGTTGCCATTCCATGATGTCGCAAAGGTGGAAGGCAGAGGGAGGGGGGGAGCAATTGCGGGTAGAAGGACGAGGGAGAGGAAGAGAGACAGTGGCAGAGAGAGGGAGAGACCGAGAGTGGAAGGGGACGTTGTGTAGCCCAAGAAACCCCGCCGTGAACTTGTGGGAAGCGGCTCCAGCCCCTTCTTCCCCGGAAAGGCTAAGAGAGAAAAAAAAAATGGAAGACAAGGAAAATAAATAAGATAAATTATAAAAATGATATTATCTGATAGAATCAACAAAGGATTCTAATTTTATTAAGGAAAAAGAGAAAAAGAACAATCCGATGTTCACAGTAGAAAAAGCGCAATTCAAGCGCACAAAATATTCCCAAGTGGACCAAAGTAGTCGCAATGGAGCCAGAAGGCTGTCCGGTGACGACAAGAGAAAATTCCCCTGGCTGGCGGAGAAAGACTGACTGAGAGAGACTGAGGGAGAGGGAGAGAGAGGGAGAGAGAGGCAGAGGCAAGAGGCAGAGAGGCAAAGGAGACAATCCTACTTAGCAACCACCACCAAAATGTTACCAAAGTTCTGAGTGGTTGTGGCACTAAGTAGTGGTCCTCCTGGCACTGGTTCTTTACATGGAAGAGGCCGTGCACCCGGAGATACTTCCTTGGGTTGTAGCAGTACTTCCAAGCACCTTACTTACGTAGGGAAAATTTGGCTGGCTGGTTATAAAGAAGGGGAAAAGGATTCAGGCTATATGTATTTGAAGAAAAGATGAAGCGACCTAGTATTCTAGTCCAGTGCCTCTGTACCCAGCCAGAGGGATGAAGTCTAGCTGATGATCCCAGTTGGGACGATGCGATGGGCAGGAATACATCCATGGAAGAGGAATGTACATGTTCATGTTCATCACTGGTATCGTCACTGGGTGACTCCCTCTATCTTTCAGAGGTCTGGTGGCCGCGGTAACCAGCGAAACGGTAATAAACATGCCACCGCTAGGCAGAGAAAGGGCAACCATCTGCCCGGTATGGTAATCAGCGACTATGACTGATACACTTTGTTTCCCTTAGTTACCTTCTGATACATACCTTTACCTTCGGACACAGCCCAGCGAGGGGCAAGCAGACATACTAGATAGATACGCACCTTTATCCCCAATAAT